TCAGACATTTTCTAAACAGGGTTGTTGCCACTAATGAGGTAACACGCAATACACAAAATGGCTTCTCTTGACTCTCCTGTCTGAACTTGAGCACACTGTGGCCTAGAAGCCACAGGCCAGCCTTCCTGTACACAAGCTAGGTCTCAAGTTTCCACCAGTGGAAACCTGTTCTCACCTTATTCACCACAGGACTCAAAACAAAAGTCAACTGCTATGCGCTGGCTACTTTAAAGGTTGCACCCTCCACTCAAGTCACTGGTTACACGGGAGTATTAATAGATCAGATGGGTTTTTTGTGTTCGTCTTTGTCAGCATCTATTTCTCACCATTACATTACCTTGTTTCGACTCAGTGGTTTTGTTTGGTTTTGCTTTTTTTAACCGTAGTAAACAAACTGTACACTAATTTCTTTGTGTTGTGTCATAACTTTTGCAAAGTGTAAAGCCTCCTGTGGTCGTGGGCGACTGTTTTCACACATTTATTCCTGTACACACTTCACCAACTACATTTAAGGTGTAGTTGAAAAATACTTTCACCACTGCATTTCATGCTGTTTTGGTTTTGCTTCCTGGAGTTTTGAGATATGCATCTATAAGAGACATCATATTTTAAGATGGTCAAAACTTTGTAAAATTGCATTAGATCTTCCGCACAGCTACAGTGGGGCATAAAAGTACTTAGTCAGCCATCAATTGTGTGAGTTCTCCCACGTTAAAAGATGAGCGAGGCCTGTAATTTTCATCATAGATATACCTCAACTATGAGAGACAGAATTAGAAAAAAAACCCTCAGAAAATCACATTGTCTGATTTTTAAAGAATTTATTTGCAAATCAGGGTGGAAAATAAGTATTTGCTAAATAACAAAACTTAATGTCAGCACTTTATTACAAACCATTCAAATGGTTAAATGTTTTCTTTAAGTCTTCAGAAGGTTTTCACACATTGTTGCTGGTATTTTGGCCCATTCCTCCATGCAGATCTCCTCTAGAGCAGTAATGTTTTGGGGCTGTCGCTGGGCTAGACGGACTTTCAACTCCCTCCAAAGATTTTTTATGGGGTTGAGATCTGGAGACTGACTAGGCAACTCCAGGACCTTAAAATGCCTCTTATGAAGTGACTCCTTTGTTACACGGGTGGTGTGTTTGGGATCACTGTCATGCTGAAAGACCCAGCCATGTTTCATCTTCAATGCTCTTGCTGATGGAAGGAGGTTTTCAATCAAAATCTGACAATACATGGCCCCATTCATTCTTTCCTTTACATGGATCAGTCATCCTGGTCCCTTTACAGAAAAACAGCCCAAAGCATGATGTTTCCACCCCCATGCTTCACAGTAGGTATGGTGTTCTTTGGATGCAACTCAGCATTCTTTCTCCTCCAAACATGTAGAGTTTTTACCAAAAAGTTCTATTTTGGTTTCATCTGACCATGTGACATTTTCCTCATCCTTTTCTCGATCATCCAAATGCTCTACAGCAAACTTCACACAGGCCTGGACATGTACTGGCTTAAGCTGGGGGACACAACTGGCACTGCAGGATTTGAGTCCCTGGTGGCGTAGCGTGTTATTGATAGAAGTTTTTTTTACTTTGGCCTCAGCTCTCAGCGCGTCATTCACAAAGTCCCCCCGTGTGGTTCTGAGATTTTTGCTCACTGTTCT